AGGGCGAAAGGGAGGGGAAGATATTAGCGAAAAAAATGGAAGAGAGAAAAAAAAAAAAAGACGAAAGGCAACCAAAGTAAAATCAAAGCGAAATTATGAAAGAGAAAGAAAAGAAAAAAACTGAAGGAAAACTGGAAAAAAAGCCGCAATGCAATTGAGAAACTAAGAAAAGGCGTGAGAGGAAAATGAGAAAGAAAAAAAATAAGAAAACAAAAAGAGAGAAAAGAAATAAAAACGAATAAGACAAAGAGGGAAAGAATAACCACAAATTAAAAACGGAGGAAAGGGAGAAAATGAACGAAAAAGGCCGTAAAAAGAAAGTTGTAAAGTGAAAAAAAAAAACAAATGAAGAAAAGAGGGAAACGTAGATTAAAAGATTAAAAAAGAGACGAGGAAGGGCAAACTAAAGGAAGGGTGAAAGAGTAAAAACCAAATCGAATTGGGAAAGAAATAATGAAGAAAACCGCAACGAAGAAGATGAGACAAGCTGAAACCTAGCCAAAAAAGAACAAAGCGCGAAATATGAGGGACGAGCAAAACGAAAAAAACTGAGGAAGAGAATTAAAGAAATCTAAGGAGAGAAAATTGAAAGTTGCACTATAAATGTATGAAGAAAGGACAACCGCGAAAGCAGGAAGCCCCTAAAAAAAAAAAGAAAACACGAAAAAATAAGTTTAAAGAAGCCGCGCGAAAGAGAAAGTTGAGAAAAGAGAAAAAATGGGGGAAAAAGTCTGCCGAATGAAAAAATGAACGATGAAAGGGAAAAAGTGGAAAAAAGTGAGAGGAGATAGGGGCAGGGGAGAAACAATCCGGTACAAAGTCAATACAACAAAGCGGGGAAAGGTAACAACGAGTCAATAAAGAGGAAGATCGTGAGAACCACAAGGAAAATCAAAAATGAAAGAATTTCTAAAAGCGAAACCGACTAAAGAACCAACGAAGGCAAAAATAATTATCGACTAAACTCGAGGGCAAGAGGAACTTTAAGAAAAGAACACCAAGGGAAAAGAGAAAAATAAGGAAGGGGGAGAAAAGAATAACATGATCGGGCTCGAAAAACGGAGAAAACTTGACAACTGAAGGAGATAACGAAAGAAGAACAAAGAGAAAAGAAAGACAAAAAACAACGGGTGGGAAGTTTGAATGAGAAATAAGGAAGCGGAGAAAGAAAAAAAAAAAGCAGACAAAAGATTGACAAGAAATAACCAAAAGCGTTAGGAAATCGAACGAAGCAACTACGAGACAGCAATCGAGAAAAAACCAAAGAAGAGAATAGGCGAATAAGAAAACGGGGATCGACAAAAACATTAAGCGGACACGGGCCAGCGAAAGAAGCCAGTGAAAAAAGAGGAGAACGGAGAATATCTGATAAAACGCGGGAAAGCCAAGGAGATGGGAAACTAAGTAATAAATAAAGAAGTGGAGGAACAAACGAAGAGAGCAAAGAAAAAAGGAGAAGAAGAGAGAGAAAAGATATAATGAAAGGAATAAAAAATGAACGCGAAGTGTGACAAAAAAAGGCTTGTAAAAGAAAGCAGGAGAAGGAAGATATGGCAAGAAGAAGAAGCCCTAACCGAATAACGGAGCAAAGCGAGAAAGAGAAAAGAAGAAAATGAGAAAAGAAAGAAAAGGCGAGAAAGAATCCGGAGAACAAAGAAAAGGAAAGCGAAGTTATAAAAAAAAGGAAAAAGAGAAAAAATATAGGCAACCAAACAAGGTTTGGAAAAAGAAACAACCGTAGGTGGGAAAACGTAAGAGAGAAAAAAAAAAAAGAAAGATGGGAAAAATTAAAAGAGACTAAGGTGGAAAACGGGTAACATCAAGAAAAATGCGAGAGGAGGGGGAACGAGCAAAGTCTAAGCAATCAAAGAAAAGGGGCGCGTGAGAAAAGAGAAACAAAAAAAGGTTGAAGGATCTTGGAAGGGTGGAAAAGTAAAGGCACAAAGAAAAGAATGAAACTTGAAGCGAGAAAATGAAGGAGAAGGAAGTGAAGTAAAATGCAAATAAAACAAGGAATGAGGAAGGGAAAGGACGTTGAGACAAAAAAAGCAAAAAAAAGGCAGAAGAAGAAGGTTAAAAACCTCCGATTAAAATGGAGAACAAAAAAAAAAAAAAACGAATATTAAGAAATTGGGAACAAGCGTGAAATAGCCAAGCTAATAGGGAAAACGAAGGTAAGGAGAAAAAGAAAATAAATTACCAAGAGAAAGAAAAGAAAGAGAAAACAGTCGAATAGGAAAGAATGGGTGAAAAAAGAAATAAACAAAGAATAAAAAGAAAACACGGAAACAAAGGAAGCTGGAGAAAACATGCGAAGGAAAGAGAAAAAGGCCCAACCGGTTAAAGAGGGTAATTCTGAAATCAAAAAAGGAGAAGAGTGGGAGAAGATCAACAAGAAATGAGAACAGCGAGTCGGACATCGCCGAACGAGAAATAAGACTTCTGAAACATGAAGAGGAGGAATAAGGGGGTGCGAGGAGTGGAATCGGGAAAGTGAACGTGCTAAGCAGAGGAACGTGAATAAATGGAAGGGAGACCCGGAGAAAAGAAAAGTGAAAATCGGAAAAAAGGGAGAGAAACGTAAAAAAAGAAGAGAAATGAAAGGTCAAAAAGGGAACAAACGGCGCAAACTTGAGTAAAGGGTTAAAGAATTTCAAAGCAAATGATAAGAAAAAGTAAAGTCAACGGAAAGTAAAGAGAAGAGCACGAACGGGTTGGTGCAAGAAAACACCATAAAAAAAGCGGAAGACTCAAGAAAATTGAGTAGCAGTGGAAAGAGAAAGGAAACGACATCGAGAATCAGAAGAGAATCGATAAAAAAAGAATGGAGAAACGAATAAAATCGAAAAAATCAAAAAGGGACAAACCCGTGAAGTGGAAGAAAAAAAAGAGAACAGAGCGACCGACTGAATCGAACGGGATGTGAAACTGAGGAACACATGGTCAGCGTGAATTGCGTGTGACGCTGCAGCAGCACCTGCCGTATAACAGAACAGTGAATTATGCGGCCCCGTACCGATCGAAAAGGTGCCGGATTTGCATTCGTACACGATCTTTGTTCCACAGCAAGGTGAGAGACGGGAAAAGAAGCAAGTACCTTTGGCATTGCCGGTATCAAACAAACAGTCCTATGGTTGGCACAAAGGTTGTGATTAGCCTGCTTGAATACTAATGACTAGTTAGGACAACTCTTTATCCATAACTTCTCAAACGGATCAGCCAATCTTTTACAGAGGATATTATCATCATCCCTGAATAGAGTAAGCACGGAAGAGCTCGAATTAGCAGCACAGGAACAGATGAGTGCTTTGAAACCAATACAAACTTCAGATCCGATTTAAGGCCCCAAATTAACTAACCACGATTCATACATCACCGGAATAAGAAGTGACACAGGAGCTGGAGACCAGCTGAACCGCTAGTTAAAGTGTCCGACCCAAATAGCTGGAATGAATACTTTAGTGTGAATCAGGGTGCTAGTGTTGGCCGTGTACCTCTCAGTGATGGGTTTAAATTAGTTTAGACTGGTACTTTGAATTAGCTGAAGTAACCTGCGATAGCGGCTTGCTACTCGTGTCCCCTAATTCACTAAGCGAAATGAATCCGAACCATCTGGATGGCTGTTTTGATTCGCACCTGGTACTTTGAAATATCGCATTATAGCTGAAGTAAAAGTAAATTAATGTCTTGGTTTTTAGAAATCCCAATGATCTTGAAGAGACCGATTGAAGTGTAGTGACGACTAGCATTGCCGCACGCAGAAGCTCCCGTACCATGCAGAGCGGCAGAAACCTCATTCCGCCAAAGCCCAAATGAAGGAAAGTGAGAAGATGGGACATTCTCGTGGGCCGCGACTAAACGCGAATCTGCAACAGCGTTCCGGTCGCCAACGGAATGTCATCTTCGATGTTTCTCGATAAGATTAATAAGAATTGGTATCGGAGTAACGCGTGATCAGAATCAAATCAGTTGTACAAAACTAATCGGCCGTTCTCAAGAAGGAACCACGACACAACTAAGGATTAGAGTGATGTGGCCAATATAAGCCCATAGCGGATCAGCGGTTGGTGGGAATAACGTAGCACAACGGTATGCTTCACGCTGGAAGGTAAGGCGAATTGGAAATAGCGTACGCTAAACGCACGGTTGTTATAAACGATCATTGCGGTCTTTACGCATTGAACATCACCCATAAGTTAGTTTCTGAGGAGATTAAACAACCTGTTTATGTAGAAAGTTGAAGCCACAATTAAAGTTTGCAGAATAAATTTTGCACAAAAAGTTACACTACTCACAAAAAACCACCAATGACCTGTTTATGTGTTGTTATCCTTGGAATGCCTAGGAGTATATCCACGTTGGTTGAAGTGGTGTGGCGATTGATTTGGAATAAGGTTAGAGGTCCTACACCCAGGATCCTTATCGAAAGTTCTTGCTTTGAAAGCCTCACCGCAAAGTATCTAGCACATGGCAATAGTCAATAATGAAGGTCATGGATGCCAGCCAATGTCCAACCGGCGGCGTGAAGAACCAGGAGTTTGTATGATCCCTAATTAATGACTAATCTGGTGGAAGGCGCCGTCAAAGGATTGAAATGTAACGCTTAGTCTGGTCCAATGGATCAGAGAGTAGGTGAACAATCACGTAGATTGAAAACCAATTCTAGTTGTAGCGGAGTAATAACGACAGTCAAGCGTCACTGTTGATCAAAGAAAGAGACCTAGGTACTTGACAACTTATACACAGTGTCCAGTGGTGAATAGCCATCCAAATCCACGTACATCGGAAAAGTTCAAGTGCTTGGCTAGTAGAAAACCGAGGACTGCCCTGATAGGCGAAGTGGCCAAATAAAGAACTCATGTCATCACGATAACAAGTAAAGCGACTCTGTGGAGAGAAAAGAAGTCGTTTATAGACTGTTCACATACATGCGGTGGAAAGCCGAGACCAGAAAAGTACTTTACACAGTAAAGGATGAAATGACCGAAGACAGGACGTACATTGAATCCCACGACACTCTCACGTGGTGACCATCTGGAGATAGTTCGGCAAAGACGCAGTCCAAAAGATGTTGGGGCTTGATATAGGGCATGATGCAACCGATCGGGTCGCACATGGCCAGATCGTCGACGAAAACCAAAGTGGCGGAATGTGCACCAGAGTGAGAAAGTAAGTGCTGAATGCGTGAATCGACGTACAGAAAGATGAAAAACAAGTAATGACAACTGGTTGTTCAATGCATGGAGGATGAAAACAATTGGCGACCAAAGATTAAGGGATGAGTTGTGTGAATTGATGTCCAACCACCTCAGTAAGGAGGTACAACATTGTTAACACCATCGTCTAAAAGCTGAGGTTCGAAAAAAGTGGTCACATAATTGACTGAACGAAGCGATTAAGTCATCAGGTGACCAGAAACGGCAAAATGTCATTTCACTCACGCTTAATCGAACACCATGTATGAAGCGTCTCCAAAGCATCATTCACTCATTCCGGTCACAGATAAAATTTGTTATCACTTCTAAATAAGGTGATGGTGTGTATTGCGAATGCATACCCGGAGAGCATTTGAAGGTGGTAAACACTTACACTTTTCGAGTATCAGTAGCCGTGGAAACCTGCTCGAACCCAGAGGGGGCATCGAGTGAACTGACGACATCTGCCGCACTGGACAGTCTGTTGTCAGTGCCGTCTATATCAAGTGGATCACGTCACAGGATACCCGGCGACTGTCTAGCTCGGTGTGCGCTGTTTGTCGACAACACGCCAAGTAGGATGAAACCGCAAATATGTTGGGCGAGAAGTACGGAGAATTGGACAAGAATGATGCATCGCGCTAGTGCAGGTCGTCTATTTGGACGTAGACCGTATAACGGAACAATGAGGCTGGACCTTACCGTGGTGCGATGGTTTGTGTGCCTCAGTGATCCATTGAGCTATACTGGGTGGTGCTTTTGCACCTTCAGAGTCACTCATACCAGATTGGTCAATGGTTAGAGGCCAGACAAACTCAGCCTCTGGTCCTCCAGCTTGGGGGTTGGAATGAGGGTGGCACCTTATTCCTTAAAATGGACTCCTTGTAGCCCAACGCCAAACCCGCTGCCTTGCGGTCAGGTTTTGAATCAAAGACTTTGGTTGAGAACCCTAATCGTTCTCCTATCTAGGCCTGGGCAACCTGACCGTATCCTGCCAACGCAGTACACCAAGACTTTTCCCTCTAACAATCTCTTGATGCTCTGGCCAACGCAGAGGATAATAAACGGTGCCCTATCTGCTGCATCGAGCAGGGTGGATAGGGGTTTGGATGCTACTACTCAAGCCTTCCCGTCTTCTTATTCCCCCTCTTACGCCTTTTCACTCTTACCGTCCCGTTCCAACTTCACTTATATCCCCCCAGTTTTCAACCCCCCGATTCTTGGCCCTCCCCCAACATGCTTTGCTAGGCATTTACCTTCTAATTTCAACTCACACCTGAACGCGGAGCGTCACTCCTCTCTTGTCGACAAGCCCATGTCCAACCAAACGGTCCAATCCAGTTCATCGGCTTCCATTTGGAGCCCTCGATCCTCCTTCAGATTGGCATGCCTCAATGTACGCACACTGCTACAAATCGGTCAACAGGCAGCACTTGCCCGAACATTGGAGACCTCTCGATCGATATCTGCTGCTTATCAGAGACTCGCCTGCAAGACTCGAGCTCTGTGCTCACTCTGCGATCCCCTTCAGGGGACGCAAGCAGTATTTTCTCCTTGCGCCTATCCGGTGACGATGCAGCTTCGAGCACCGGCCAAGCCGGTGTTGGTATTGCCCTGAGTCCCCGGGCTGAAGCTGCTCTGGTTGATTGGATTCCAATCAGTAGCCGGATGTGTGCGGTCCGATTGGCTGGCTCGTTTAAAGCTTCGAAGTCGCGCGGGACTAATAGATGTCTATTCATCATCGCTGCCTATGCGCCCACAAACTATAGCGATGATTCGGTAAAGAACGACTTCTACCGCCAACTGACCCAGCTCCTTCGCCACAGAAGAAGCACGGACACTGTTGTGCTGGCGGGGGATATGAACGCACAAGTTGGAAAGTTGTCCACTGATGAACTGCATCTGGGCGGTCAACACGGTGTAGGCTCCCGTAATGATAACGGTGAGCGGTTACTTCATTTGTGTGAAGATGCTCGCTTATTTCTTGCGAGCACTAATTTCCGACACAGCACCCGCCGAAGGGTGACTTGGCGCCCACCAGCCTTGAACCAGCCTTGCACGCAGATCGATCACATTGCGATAAGTTAACGCTGGAGAGGCTGCATCCAGAATTGTCGCTCGATTTGGAGCACATGTGTGGACATCGATCATGCACTTGTATGTGCTGACATGCGGATGCGTTTTGGCGGACGCCCACGACGACGCTGTGAGCGCATTGACACCAGCCAACTGACAAAACCAGCTGTTCTGAATGCGTATCGAAGTACGCTAACATGCGAGTTGAACAAACGCTCACAGGAGACAATTGATGGTCACTGGTCACATGTTCGCCAGACCTTACTAGCAGCAGGCAAATCTTCATGTGGTATGTCTAATAGACAACATGGACATTGGGTCTCTTCGCAGTCTCTGGAACTTATAGATGCTCGCCGGCAAATCCCGGCTGGAAGCGAGCACAATGAAACTCGCAAAGAGCTCCGGGCAAAACTCCGTGCTAGCCTGAAGAGAGACCGCGAATCTTGGTGGTCTCATCGTGCGTCAGAGATGGAAGTGGCCACTGCCCTTGGCAACCATCCTAAGTTATTCCGTCTGATACGGGAAACGGGCAGCAGGAGACCTGGTGTTAGTGAAACTATACGTGACGAGAGTGGACAGCCTATCCACAACTTGTCAAGACGTTTGGAGCGTTGGGCTGAGCATTTTGAAAAGCAATTTAATCGGCAAGAATTGTTCGATTCGTCGGTCACTGATCGCCCCGCTCCGTGGGCTGTCCCTTTGGATCCACCCTCTCGCTCAGAAGTCGAACGTGAGATCGGACTGTTGAAGTTGAACAAAGCCGCGGGACCAGATGATCTTCCTCCAGCCCTCTTCAAGTTTGGAGGCTCTGCTCTTGTTGATGCTTTGCATGAATTACTAGTGAAACTGTGGGAGCAGGAAACTGTCCCAACCGACTGGAGCCGCTCCGTTATTGTTCCCATCTTCAAAGGCGGCTCGCGCTCGGAATGCGGCAACCATAGAGGAATCAGTCTGATCTCCATCGCCTCCAAATTACTCGCGTCCATAATTCTCCACAGACTGACTGGCGCTCGTGAAAGCCAGATTCGTGAGGAGCAAGCCGGGTTTCGTCGGGGTCGTGGCTGCATCGACCACATATTCACCTTGCGTCAGTTGTTGGAGCACCGTCACACATATTGGCGGCCCACCGTAGTCGTGTTCCTCGACATCAAAGGTGCCTTCGATTCGGTTGATCGATGTGCCCTTTGAAATTGTCTACTCAGGAAAGGTGTGTCCGAGAAATATGTAAATACTATTCAAGCATTATATGCGCGTAGCACGGGCAGAGTAAGGGCTTACAGCAGGCTGTCGCCAACCTTCAATATCTCCAGCGGTGTGAGACAAGGATGCCCGCTGTCACCTTTCCTATTCAACTTCGCAATTGACGAAGTCATGGAGATTGCATTTACAGGACATGACTTGGAAGGTGTGGAGCTACTCCCAGGAGAACGACTCCTTGACTTAGAGTATGCAGACGACATTGCCCTCATCTGTGACAGCTCCCAGACGTGTCAAACCGCGCTGGACAGATTAGCACTGGCTGTCAGTCGCTTCGGGCTTTGCTTTGCACCACCGAAGTGCAAAGCGTTCCTCCAGAATTGGCAGGGTTCGCCCCCTGTGCTGACCCTTGGTGGGGATCAGCTAGAAGTCGTTCAGAAATTCAATTACCTGGGAAGTTGTATCAGCGCCCTTGGGATCGAAGACGAGATCACGAGCCGCATAGCGAAAGCTCGAAGTGCTTTTGCTAACCTTCGCTACCTATGGCGAGGGCGCGACATTACTCTCGCCCTGAAGGGTAGAGTGTACAATGCAGCGGTACGTTCGACCTTACTGTACGGTTGCGAAACCTGGCCCCTAAGATCGGCGGACATGAAGAGGCTACTTACGTTCGACCATCGGTGCCTTCGCAGTTTGGCTCACATCTGGTGGGAACACCGCGTGAGTAACGAGCGTGTTCGACGCATTGTTTACGGCCTAGGAAAAGGGAATGAACCGCTCAGCACCGTCATTTCACTCACCAGGCTCCGATGGCTGGGCCACGTGTTGCGCATGCCAGCCCACCGACTCCCTCGACGTGCGTTGTTTGCTCACCGGGGATGTGGGTGGAAGAAGAGGAGAGGTGGCCAAGCGATGACTTGGTCCAGAGGAATGAAGGCCCTCACTTCGGAGCTGGCCTCAGTTGGAGCTTCACGGCTCCCTGGTTGGGGTCCAAAAGACGGTGAACACGTTTGGCTGGATACACTTGCTGATATGGCAAGGAGCCGACCTCAGTGGCGTTCCTGCTGTGAGTTTCTTTGTCCCTCCCCATCCCTTTAGCCTCCCCCTCCATCTACGATCTTATCTCATAGGGTAAAACGTAATTAAATTTTTGTTTTTGCCTAGTAGCCGACTAGTAGCTTACCGGAACGATGCCTATCCGTTGCTGGTAGCTCAGCTGGCATTCAACTGTCGTATTTATTTTTCCTTTATGTATTGTATGTATGTATGTATGTATTTCCTTTATGTATTGCGGTACAATAGCGGAGGTGTTTTACCATCTCTAGCTGACATGTATAATGATGATGATGATGATGAGAACGCGAGATCAAGCATCAAGGTGATTGAAAGTTAGCAACATTCTTGCACTCAGTGCAGTTTTCCGGTGTTATTCACCCTATCCGACGAGACAGCGTCTTCAACTGTGGCTTCATGCATGATTCAGTTTTCTTTTGCCACCGTGGTTTCATGGGAGCATGAGTAAGTACAATTAAATTTCTGGAACCATAGTCGATGTATTGAGCGGAATTGAACTATAGGCTGAAGGTAATGCTTGAGTTAGCTTGATACTGATAGTATACTACGGAAAGTAGGGGAGCACACCGAGAACATCACACGTTCTAGTTCGAATAGAATGCAACTCATACGAACTAGCATGTGGTAACCACATGGCAATCAGCACCCATCGGAACCGCACAATCCAAACATTCTCGGTTAGTTTTTTCAACAAATGAGTAAAATCAGGTTCACGAGATAATGTTGATGTAGCCGACCACTAGTAATCGATGGGAAAGTAAGTAGCTCGAAGTGCGCATAAGCAGTAAGAGCTCTTAATACATAACACAACGTAAAATCGAAGCCGAATATAACGTAATCGTTAAGCCTCAACAAAGGACATATGCAGAATCACTAGGTAAAGTACAAAACCGATGGTTCGAGACCAAGCGGCCATGTAAAGGAATAGCGATCAGAAGAAGGAAAAACAAGTGAGTCATCGCAAGCGCTCAAGAAGTTACGATAGTTCCTCATTAGCGCACAGAATACTTCTTGAATCGCGAGTATACAGCACTGGATTAAATGGTACACCAGTGACACAGTGGGAAGCAGAACACTGCGTAATACCACCTGCTGACGCTGCTCAGCAACTTCAACAGTACATATCGTTTGGAGCAGCACGTCCTGCAACACGTGACTAAGGAATAAGATATAGGTATTATCGTACAAGAAAGTCCGGACAATTTCGTCCATTGTTCGGCAGCAGCAAATGTGGTGAACTTGGAATTAAGGTTGTTGAGACGAGGAGGTGGCACCGTTGAGTGATGACTAGTACCCTTGCCGATAACTAGAATATACGTCACCATATTGAGTATGCGGTTCAGGCCTGGTGTCCATGATTGAAATGTGATAATCGTCTTTTGGAGCAACTCCAAAGAAAAGCCGCCAAGGCAACACGTGAACTATCCGCTCTCAATCATGAACTGCGCCTTCGCTTATTCGGCCTCATGAAGATCTCATTCTCACATACCGGATAGTAACAGAAAATAATCACCTATGTGAATCGCTACTGATTCTAGCCCCCTACAAACAATGTTGAGGATATCACTTGAAACCAGTAACTCAATACTCCCCTTTGGATTATGGAAGTACTTTGCTCTCTTAGAATCATTTCACACTGGAATGCATTGCCAGCACAAGTGCACGTCAAACATCGCGACATTCGAAACCCTAGTAGACTTTCATCTAGATGATAAACGCTACGCAACAGCATGACAAAGCGCAATGCCTATAGCACTGATGGTTCAAGTTCCACAAAGAAATGTATCGATTTTAATTTTCTTTTGCATTTGCCATCTTGTGGGTCTTGTAAGGTTATGCATTTAATCTCATCATAGACTATTGAGCAATTGGTTGCGTAGCACTCGTGCATCACTGATACTGTCGAGCGTCAGCGTCGTGGGCGTGAGCTGACCGATAGTAAACAAGGAACATACCGCAGTGCGTCAAATGAAGGGAGCGTGCAGCAACACAGAGGCCGTAAAATAAGACCCCTGCTCCAAAAGATACATAGAAAAGTTTAGTTTCGTGCAGAATGCCTATTTCGTTGTCAAATCTGAGAAGAACCGTAAGAAGAAGGCTAAGGGGGAACTATTGTTTTCGATTTATGCCTCATCAGCGATAAGAACAACGTGCGGTATAGCAACACAAGAGTAACGATCATAGCGAAAATGGATACTAGAGTTTCAGGTGGCCAATGGATTTTTAAACGATGTGCTAACCATGTGTTAATGACACATGCTTCATGTAGACATCTATCAAGTCAGTTATGTCGAACAGAACACAGCGATTGACTGAATCGAAGGAAATAAAGCGCAACGCGAAGGAGAGAGTCCGAAAGACGTCGGGAAGGTGTCAGTTTGTGCTTAGGGTAACGATTAGCTCAAAGACGAGTGTCTTTCGTTTAATGTAGACAGACCGGCGGTACACACGTTAGAGGTTTCTCATGCCGTGTGATGTTTCTGTCTCTTCGTCAGGCCTCAATAATGAGATGCGCGGCACCGAAATAGCCGTGGAAGATGTTTTTGTACTGCTTACAATGATATCGATGCTTTCGCCGACGCAATCGTTGCCACCATCACCACTAATGCTCCTGACGCTGATGACGATGGCTTAACCTCCGTGACTCGAATAGCCAGGCCTACGCCTTAGCCAGAGCGGGAAATGGAGATAAGAGCACGACAGGCAAAGATCAAATTGTGGAGGTACAATTGTGCCAACTCAATTTCTCAAAGAGTATTTGTGAAATCGCATGTGCTAGTGCCACGACCATGCAGCCCATCGTGTGGCGCATTGTTTTGGAGTGTGTTTATACTTCACGTAACCACCTCTGTCTGGCGTTGAGTTAATTACGACTCTTCCAATCGTGGCAACTATCCCTCTGGAAATGTCCCACTCATTCTTCCGACCTGTCCTCATAAATCAAATCTGTCTGAATAAATGAATAAAAACTTTCACTGCATGCGTTTTTATATTGGTAGCACGGTTACGGAAAACGTTTCTCGGTTTGACTAATGAATAAATAATTAAAAACTGTAAGGCAAATTTGATCGAGCCCGTGGTTGAACTGGGAATATTCTATTGTAGGAAGAACTAGCGAAAGCGGACAACAATAAAGACGGCAATTTTAGTATTCTTCATCAGCAGTCACTATAAGTTTAAGTATGAATTCAAACGATAGTCAGCGAGGACATGTTGTTTCCTAAATTACTGCGACGCTTCGCTTATTTCACTGTGAGATATTTTTTGCTCTCAAGCTGTATAACGCGGGAACCTAATCGAGAAGAGATGCTTCTTCCGTTTCTTGCAGAAATATACACCACACAAACACGTACAAATAGACTTTTGGGACAAGAAATCACATTCGTGATTCAAAATAGAAAAATCAGAAGAAGTAGTTTGTGAGATGGCGTCATCATTTCGTGCATCCTCATCAAGCACAAACATGCAACAATGATGGACATACAAAGTGTCGTGAGATAGTAGATAGCTAAGCGCTCGTACTGCCTTGGTAGGTTTACAGCCGCGTGTGATTTCATGCAGAGGCCGGTCCTGCGTTGTAACCATCCAATAAATAACTGATTATCTATCTTATCAGCTACATTGTAGTGTCTTCGCAACGTGACCGAATTAAAGGATTGGACAGAAAATGTCTAGTGAAGTGCACGGGATGCATTGTTCTACTGTCTCCGCCATTGGTCAGGCAACTTGAGTGCACATGAAGGAATCAACGCACGAGTTTGAGGGCTCACTGGCGTTATTCGGGTTTCCATTACTACGAATGGTACTGTTTTAGGAGTAGAGTAATATGTAGAAGACTAACTCACCTTTCTCCGTTCTAGGGCAGGTTGGAACTCGGAAGCGAAGGCGGACGCAATACTAGTGGTTAAGTGCCCAAAGGAATAAACATGTTCCACTGCCTAAAATGTACGATAAATGCACAAATGATTAGTGGAAAAAGGCGCAGAGAAAAGGCAACACACCAGCCGCGGAAGAGGCAGTGCATTTGGCCATAAAGGTTGGACTAGGACTTACGAGGAAAAAATTTTTGAGGGTAAAAACATAGAGGCCTGCACAAGTTCATAGAGAGAGAGAATGATCGAGTAAAAAAGGTGAGGGAACAGGTGAGAGTTATTAGCCAGAACAATGTAGGGGCCCGCTTCGCCATTATCACACGTCCAAATATGTGGCTGATGCGCACAGGACATCGCCTTAGTTAAGATCCATGCAAAATTAAGCACCCGACTTTAATACTATGTTAAATAAATACAAGGCGTTAAGAGGTGACACCCGCGATTCGTATTGATATTTCGACGCTACGCAAACGTGAAAGGTCGTACGGGAGCTGGGACACTTCAGGGGCGCCCAAACCATATACGATAATGAGATAGAGGTAGAACAAAATTGTTATGAGCCACTTGCAGAACCCACGCCAAATTATCCACAAACTGCTACCTCCGAGGATAGAATGGAGAGAACAAAGGTCCTCTGACTAACAGCCGGCGAAGAGAATGAGAAGGTCGTGAGTTTTCGATCCAGAATAACTAACATATGTAGTGATACCCGCTAAGAATCTGAAAAGCAGTATATGGCATAAAGCCAAAGGTCGGCAAAGGGTGTACTGGGTCGTGATCCGTCAAAGCGAGAGCTGATTGTGACCGTCTTCATGAATAACAGGCATTGCATCTACAAACACAAAGAATGAACGTTTCGGAACCACATTTGCGAGGAGACGGCCTAGTCGCAGGTAAAATGCTAAGACACACGGCTTTTCATGCTCAACAGGGTTAACCACCGTTTTATTCTTCCACCATGCATAACAGAGGATTTCGTCACTCATGAAAGTATAGATAGTAAGGTTAGGTAACCTTAGCGCACAGGAGTGTGTGGTCCGAATAGAAGCATCCAGAATGACTCGCAACCCTCTACGCAATAATGTCAGCGGTAAATGCTGGGTAAACTTGGGAAAGGACACAGGGGGTAAACGGGGTACCAGACTAAAAAGCGCTGAGGGAATACACTGCTGTCAACGTAGACCTGCGTGTTAAGTTGAACACTTCGAACAGCAGATCATTTGCTACCAACATCAAGGAGTGTACTTACAGGAACCCACTATACTCCTTGGTGCGTGGACGCTTTATGTCATCTTACGCTGAGGTTACCTATGAGTTCTGTCTTATGGGAAACAATAAAGCCCTTGGGCAAGATGGATTCTCCCAACCTTTTCAGATGGAGGCCCATCCTATATCAATAAACTGACTCACATTCTCCAAGAGGATTGAATTACGGTAGTTATCCTGGACTCTTGGAGATAAACGTCAAAACGTGTAGTCGGTCAGGATGCACTTAAACTCGCAAGAGTAGCCGAATCTGCGTTGTATCCAAAGTGATCACTGGCTACCTTAGGGGAAACAGCTGGAAACGCAAACGACGCATATGAGAGGAGTAAGCTGGATTTCACTCTAGTGGCATCCTTAAGAAGCACCAAATACTTGGATGTTGCCGTAAATTTGTGTTACGCCAGACGATTCGGTGCCTTAAAAGTGCAACATCGTCCCACAACCCTGATCGTGTACTTCACTCTCACTCACTGCTCTACTGTTGTTTAGATGTAAGGTGATCATATGTCCCGATTTAGGCGGAATAGTCCCGCATTTCAAGTTGTCATCTTGCTTTTTTAGAAATGATGGGCGGGACGCACTAATATCCGCTTTGAGGTCGGAGACCCCAGTATGTCCCGCTTTGAGCATGTAGAATGTACGTAAAAAGAAACCCATCAATGCGCATCATAAAATCAAAATAAGTGGGCGGGCATGAGTTGGGCGGGATAGTCGACTGCGTGGGTGAACAACGCGGCTAGGATATGTTTTAAGACAATGCAAATAGTGGGAAGAAAAGCGATGATGAAAGTTTTGTGTCTTTAGTGGAGAAGGCGTACAGTAAGTACATTTCGGTGGGAAAATCATGTCTGAACGAAGGTGCAAGATGATTACACAATTGGAGAGCGATTTTCCATCCATTAAGAAGGCAACACGCGACCGCTTTTACATTTACACTGTTCGTGTTGAAGAACTAAAAGAATTTGGTGACTGCAACTGTATACTACCAACGCATTCTAAAATACGGGAAAAGCAGATAGCTTTCACTTATGGCAGCGATGGAGAGAATCCTGTAGCTCTTTTCGGCATTGAAATAACATATTTTGTTCCGATAGAAGCGTCTTACAGTATTACAATGTTTCTTTGAAAATCCCTGCGCTGACCTGTGGCTCTACTTTATGCATAACATCTCTGCCATTTTTCATGCCACTGTACTAAAAATAGAGGAACAAAAGGTTTCACCTTAGCCTATATTTTCGGCTGTTTTGTCTGTTTCACGTGAATACACTGTTCGGTGCGGTGAAACTCTTTGTTCTGACGGCTCTACGCCCCATTAACCAGGATGATAACAATTTAGTTGGCCGACAATAGTTTTCTTTCTACTTGCCTTCCTGGGGCTATTCTGCTGAACTCTCACATACCAAAACAACCTGTCAAGTATTCACCAGAAATGCTTGCTAATACTGTCAAAACAAGAAGCCTCTTGCTTAAGTCGAGGAGTAAAATTGTGACCAATGTAAACCACAACCGCATATGGAAAGCATGCGCTCGGGAATAATCTCAGAACAGCTTTCTTCTACGGGATAAATAGATTTAAGTAATCACCCATTTTCCCATGCTCAAGATCGTGCGAGGTGAAAAACACCTACCCCGGAATTTGACCTCATTTGAAAGAGAAAGCTCTCAGATTTCCCATATGTTTTAACACGTTCCATCCCATTTCTATACGTAACAAGTACAGAGCAAATTACGTTGATATTGTGAACTGCTCACAGTCAGGTGGACATCAATTCTTGCCGCTCTCCATTTCAGTTGGCGCAATCAAACAACTTATCCTATACAACAACGACCTGCACAACAGGCATATACTAACTGTCTTAACCGCGATCGTATGACGGAGAAACGAAAAAAGGCAACGCGCTAGCACTCTGACTACAATCTGGTGAATGGCTGGTGGACATTTCGAACGGTTAGGCACACTGTACATCATCATCAAACAGCATCAGATGAGTCATTTGAACTGATGCTTTGATGCCGTACAACCATGGTGACCTAAGGGGTGAAGAATAATGAGAGAACAGGGACCAAGGGAAAAACATTAATGTCCTGAACACTCAGAGTCAAGATGCCTACACCTTGAATAGACAAGGTACTGTCACAAACTGATGGCTATCGTGCGAAAATGAGGAGGCATCGGCGAGACAGCCTCCTTAGGACTTTCACTACCCCGCGTCATAATCAGCCATTACCCTGCAGATAACACTGCAGCAAAAACACATTGAAGGGACAGTCCCACGGAGACAATAGCAGATGCGTTGATGGTGTCAATTGCGAGCTATGTTCTGTAACGTCTCAAGCCAAGAACAAGACCGGTCACATGCATTCCAGCCTGGAAGGCGAGAAGGACCAACGCACCAAGTTTAGTCATCAGTGACTTCATTTCCAGCTGCCAGGTCAATTTTTGCCCACCTCGGGCCTTGCGGCACCACACATCCGGCAAGCGGTTACGGGGAATACGTAGCACGTGCCCAATCCACCGAAATTTACTCAGTACTATCAATTGTTCTAAGAAATTAGCCTGATAATCACAGGCTAGTACACGAATACGCAAATCATTGTTGCGGACACATTGGTGCCATCCGACACCAGCACTGATTCGCAGACAATGATGATCAAAGACTTGAAGGCGCCGCGGGTCCACTGATCAAAGGGGACAAGTCCCTTTACCATGGAGTAGGACGGCCCTAAATGTGGCCATGTAAATACATCATTTCAGACCAAGCGAAACGCTTTTCTGAAGTCACAGATGTCGCAGCTTCAAAAAGACAGTGTAGCTTTTGCAAAGCGTGAATTGACTTCAGTCGTTATGCACCCATCGCTGCCGATACAGCTGCCAATGTAAGTTAGCTGACCAACTACCTTGAGTTCCTAGTTAGCAAGGGTAAAGCGGTCATCAACTGGCTAGTGGTCTTGTAACATCAGTTTACACTCGGAAGGTGGGAAGCGCACGCCAAATAATGGAATCACGCTGGAGGTAATAAGGGCTTGAATAGGCCGCCCAACATCGTTAAAAAGCAAGACAATACCGTCCGCATGATCAAGATCAACTAACTTTTCATCAGTCACAATTTTAACGACTGTACAGTGAGATTCCGCAAGGGGATGCTTCATAATAGAGTCCACGACGAAGTTGAACAAAAATGGGGAAATTGGACAACCCTGACAAGCGCCGCTTGTTGTCGGAAAAGCATCCTACAAATCACCGTAGACCCTGACGCGGCCTGCAGTGTTCGTGCAAAAAGTACGTAAAATGTTCACAAATCTCTTGGGAACACATGTCCGTACAAGTATCCCGAACGGAATGCATGGGTCTACTGAATCGAACGCACTCGTGAAATCGAAGAACACAGCTATCGTCGGTCTGCGGTATGGGTGGCGCTGTTCTAGCACATGCCGCAGAGTAAATAGATCGTATATACAGTCACGTCCAGGACGGAAAGCTGCCTGCTCTTCACTAATCTGGGATTCCCGTTCCACAGTGAGGCGACGAATAAGGATTGAGGCCAGTAATTTCGTCACAACTGTTGATAGGCTAATATCCCTATGGTTAGCATAGTCGATGCAACTGTCCTTCTTGTATATTGCCACCATAATCAATTCACTCCAGTTAGGCGGGACAGTCTCCTTCCATACATGTGAGAACAGAGGTCAGTGCTTTGCAGACGACCTCAACTCCATTCTTAAATAGTGCGAGTGAGATAGAATCCGGGACAGCAGCATGAAAACGGTTGAGGGCTGTGATCGCATTTCGGATCTCAGCC